TGAAGCCGGATATAAATATTTTAGGGAAGAAGAGGACCGCCACGTTATATTCTGATGTGGAGGAAATCAGACGGGCAAATTCAGTGGTATACAGCGCACTGCTTTCAATATTCTGGATTCCTTCATCATTTATTGAACGCAGCGGCTTCATACTCGGCACAATATTGTAGCACTCCATCGAGGACAGCAGATCCTGAAATTCAGGGGACAGTTTGCGTTGTCCTTCGATGTTTCTGATATTACTGTATATATTCAGCTGATACATGAGTGCATGTTAAATTGTTTTTTGTGCAGTACAGATACCGCAGAGCCGTTGTGTACTCTTCAGACAGAAATATGCAGATGTTTTTCAATACGTGATTTTAGTTCATCTGTGGCATACAAACGCTCCAGTCGTTCACGGTAATGCGCGCTTTGTTCTGCATCCAGGTCTTCCCGCTTTGCCAGCAGACTGTTGTAATAATACTTGAATTCTTCCTGGTTAAGTTCGCCAATATCTGTTTTAGTCAGGGTATCGTCTGTCCGCTCATTTGAAAAATCTGAAAAATCTTTACCTTTAAAGTTAAGATACTCGCATTTACAGTCTGCACAGAGTGCCGGCGGAATTTTATTCTTAAAGCTTTCACCGTATAAGCGGTTATGTCGGAGCAGACATCCGGTTGGTGTGTCTTTAGACAAAAAACAGCTAAAACGCCGCGCTGTGACGGGGTCTAATCGGTGTTCTTTTGTCCGGTACTGGCGTGTGACAATTTTTTTTTTGGAAACCGCGTACCTGTAAAGCATATATAAAATAATCGCGACAATAATCAATTTTGTCATTTATACCCTTAACTTAAATTGAATAACTGTGCGGACATATTTTCTTGTAAAGTTTAATATCATATTTAAGGCGGATTTTTTACAGGGAGCTGATCATAATTTTTACTCCGGACGATTTTGTGTTGAGTAAAGCATCAGATATGCAGACTGATCGGCAGCGTATTCGTTGGGGACAGCAGTGACAGACGGAAACAGGGCCCCGCTTTCGGCTGCCGGCAATGTAATTAGGTTATCCGGTACCCATTCTTGCAGGTTAAGCGTATAAAATGATCTTATCCCGCCTCCGTTTGGTGCGTACCCGTAAGCCCGGAACCTTTTGTCGAATGTCATTGTGCTGTGAATATAACGTTTTGTTCCGTCAACAGTAAAATTCATGCTTTCAGTCGGGATAAAATAATTGCCGTTGTCCAGCTTGGAGATGTATTCCGGAATTTTATCTTCCGTACGGGCAAACATGACCCAGCGGTTTTGATACAGGCTCACGCTGTAGTTTTTCAGCACCCGCTCCGGTGAACCGAATACCGGTGCTTTATATTCAAACGTAAAACCGTCCGAAGAGTCTGCATAATGCAGGCGGGTACCGCTGCCTTCTACCGTAACCGTTGTACTTAAGAAGTACAGCCTGACACCCGAATCCGGTAGTTTCACAGCATATGGATAGCTTGCCTTCCGTTCGCCCGGAATGCCTTTGATGTAGACATACTTATGATACCAGCTTTTGCCGTTGTTATCTGATACTGCCGCCGCGACAACACTGTATAGGTCCCCCGCTTTATACGCCAGATAATAACAGATAACAGTTTCGCCCATGTATATAACCGACGGATAAGTCCCGCCGTAAACAACAGGCTTTCCTGCCGGTTCAAAGGTAAGTCCGTTTCCGGATACCGCAGTTAATATTTTTGAGCGGAATAACGCGCTGTTTCCTTTTCCGTTTACCGGTAAAGAATTTACTGTCAGGGGGGTAAACTCATCCCGTTTACGATCGCGTAGCTTCTGTTCAAAGCCGACATCCCGATAGCTTTCTGCCAGTATTTTATTGTCTACAGGATTTTTGGCTTGTTCTGTCCCGGACGAGTTAAAAAAACTGCACCCCGCCCATACAAAAATACCGATAAACCAAAAAACAGCAATTAATCTGCGCACTTCAATCGTTTATTTATATAAAGTAATTTTAGGTATATGTATCAGTATACCTGTTTAGGGTGAGTCTGTCAGGACTTTTAACAGATTTTATTGAGCAATACGGTGATTAAACGTTTGCAGCTTAAAAACAATTATCTTAACCGAGGGTTTTTAAGTGAATTGGCTGAAAAAAATAATCGGGGATTGATAAAAAGAGCAGTGCATGGGCTTAATGCCCATGCACAATATGAAACGGGGATTTGTTACTTGCGATAGCTTCTGACTACTGCTTTGACACCGTCATTGGCGAAGCTCCGGTTGACGTCTTCCGCAGCGGTACGTTCATTATAAGGACCGGCAACTACATGAAAATTACTGTTGGGCGGATTATCTACAAAGAATGTCAGACCGGAATAACGCCGTGATATTTCTTCTTTGTAATAATCTGCACTCTTCTGATTATTAAACGCCGCAAGCTGTACTACTGTTTGTTTATAGGCTTCAATCCCGATACTAGGGTCAAAATTACTTGGATACTGCACAACTTCCAGCTCTACGTTAGCGGTGCCGCGCCCGACCATGTCAATCTGCTCAGCGGCGGCTCTGGATAGGTCGATGATACGTCCTTTGGAATATGGCCCGCGGTCATTAATCCGCACAATTGTCTGTTTTCCGTTGTCGATGTTGGTTACACGCACCAGAGTATTAATCGGAAGATATTTATGCGCGGCGGTCATTTCATGCTGATTATAGATTTCACCGTTGGCAGTTTTAAGTCCGTGAAAATTAGGACCGTACCAAGAAGCGACGCCCTGCATTTGATCTTTTGGCTGATTAGCGGCTTTGCCTTGTGTATCTCCGCTGAATGATGCAGGTACTGCTGCACTCTTATTGGGAGTTCCGGATTTATTATCCTGTATGCCGTTGTTTGCTTTACCCGCCACCATACTTGCGGGCTTATAGTTTTCGCGGACAACCGCTTTGCCGGGTAATTCACTGCCTTTATTAATCGGGATTTGCCATTCTTTCGGCGTATAAAAACGGGTGTCGCTTAACGACCGGATTTCCGGATATGCTCCCCGACTGTTCGGAGAACACGATATATAAAGCAGAACCGGCACGATACAAAAAAGAAAGTGTACTTTACGCTGAAGGTTAATTTTTTTTATCATAGTTGCTATCTGTATTCAATTGCAGTTATCCTAAATCATTTTAGAACACACGTACTCATAGCAATATCCATACCTCTTAAATTTTTCAGCTTATGAATAAACAAAATAAAAATATTCTTATTACCGCCGGCGGATTTATTGCCGTTTTTGTACTCTTATACTGGGGCGTGATGTCCATGCAGAAAGAAAACACCGCAGACTCCGCATCAAAAAAAACGGCAGGTTCAGGGGTAGTTTCTGTCTTCAGTGGCGATAACCCCGTGATTGCGGTATACAAGGGCAGGGAGATAAAACTGAGTGATTTGAACAATCAGCAGTTTAGCGGTGTGATGAATCAATTTTATGAATTTCTGACTAATTCGGTTAAATCTAACATTATACAGTCAGAGGCACAGACACCGGAATTTCAGGCGGGAATAAACGGCATTCAGTCAACAGAAGCGGAAGCAAAAGAATTTTATGACAGAGAAAGTTTGCAGGAACGGGGCAGTTTTGACGATTTGAAAGCCAATATTATACAGTATCTGGATCAACAGAAACAGCGCGACTATGCTAATCAGATGCTTACTGACGCTGTTAATAAAGGTGATTTGGTATTCCGTATTAATAAACCGGCGGAGCTTGCCGTAACCACCGGAGTGAGCGATGCGATAAAAACCAGACCGGCGCAGGGACAGGTGGCGATTGTGGAGTACAGCGATTATCAATGTCCGTTTTGCAAGTCGGTTCAGAAAACACTTAAGGAATTAAAAGCAGAGTTCCCGCAGGTCAGTTTTTACTATAAGCATTTTCCGCTGAATTTTCACACTGAAGCCGATGAAGCGGCGATTGCATCTGAATGTGCCAACCGTGAGGGTAAATTTGAGGCATATCACGACATTTTATTTAACAATCAATCCGCGCAATTTCCGGATAATCTGATGCAGTATGCACAGGATGCGGGTATAACAGATATGAACCGATTTAAGAGTTGCTATGCGGAAGACGGATTGCGTGAAAAAGTGAACCGCCACATCGCAGAAGGCGCGGAAATAGGTATCAACGGCACTCCGGGCTTTGTAATCGGCATCTACAATGCGGAACAGCAGTCCGTTACTGGTGATTTGCTGTCGGGAGCATTGCCGAAAGAAAAATTTGCGGAAGCTGTTAATAAATATCTTAACAAATCCGCGAACTAAAACAGTGAAACGGATACACTGTTGGCAGTATTACAGACAGGCTTTGATATTTGGGATTATCACAGGGTTAATGCTTATGCCGGGAAAGGGATTTTCAGACGGACACAACCCCGGCAAAAATCTGTTTGTCCCGACTCCAAAGGAACGTAGCGGCAAACAGCAGGACGCGTTTTCTGACGGTGTGTCCGTCCGAGCGCCCCACAAAAGATCAGCGGCAGCCGGCAATCAACCGGTCTATACGGTCACGGCGTACGTTAGTGTGCCGGCGGGTAAACATATTTATTCAGTGTCTCGGCAGACAGGTGTTGTCGGAACGCAGATTCGCTTTGCAGACCCCGGCGTAAAACCGGTGGGCACACTTCAGGAAAGTCCTGCTGAAACGATATACGATGATACACTGAAGAAAAATATCAAAGCCCACCGCCGTGAATTTCAACTGACCGGGCAGTTTACCGCTGAAATGCCGCTTCCGGAGGCGGTAAAGATGTCCCTGTATTTTCAGATATGCGATCAGAAAATCTGCTCCCTGCCTGCAGAAAAACCATTCATGTCTGTCCGCACTCCTTAACCCGTCAGTTACTGCATGCCCTTGTCATAAGTATCCGGTGCCGTATTTATTTTCCAAGAATGTATTTTGCAGATTGACAAGAATAAACCCAAACAGCTAAAGTAAACTCTTTTAAATGCGTTAAAGAAATGCCTTATCCGGGGTATAGCGCAGTTTGGCTAGCGCACCTGCTTTGGGAGCAGGGGGTCGCAGGTTCGAATCCTGCTGCCCCGATGGGTTTGAGCCTCTTAAAACTCTTTAGAACATTTTAGAACATTTAGAACATTCTGAATGCCTTTCCCCTCCTAATTTCTGAACATCTTCGCTATTCAGTCCGCTTTTTAGAATATACAAAACATTTTATCTTTAAGCAACAGCCGAAGGCGTGCTGACGTAGTCAGAGACGCGGACGGATACAATTTTAGATACGCCCGGTTCGCCCATGGTAACACCCAGCAGACAATCGGCAACTGTCATCGTGACTTTGTTGTGTGTGATAATGACAAAACGCGTTTTTTGTGAAAATTCAGACAGCACGTTGGAAAACCGTTTGACGTTAGCCTCATCCAGAGGCGCGTCCACTTCATCCAGCACACAGAAAGGCGCGGGTTTGATCAAAAAGACTGCAAATATCAGTGCGAGGGCGCAGAGTGCTTTTTCTCCGCCGCTCATCAGATTCATATTCTGTAGTTTTTTGCCGGGAATGAGTGCAGTGATTTCAATTCCCCGCTTACTGTTATCCTCGTTATCCTGCACCATAATCAGTTTTGCGTTGCCGCCGCCGAAGAACAGCGGGAAAACCGTCTGTAAATTCTGATTGATGCGCGCAAATGTTTCCTGAAACTTTGCTTCAGTTTCGGCGTCAAGCTGTTCAATAGATGTCTCCAGGGCGGAGATACTATCGGTTAGGTCCTTCTGTTGCCCGGTCAGGAACCCCAATCGCTCTTTCAGGGTTTTGTACTCGTCAAACGCCTCCATATTGATGTTCCCGATTTCACGCAAAATCTCTTTCTGCTCTTCCAGTTCACGGGAAGCGGCAGAGAGATCAAATTCTTCCGGGCGGGTGGATTTCAGAACTTCTTTGGGGAAAAATCCGGATGCCTCGCGCAGGCGTTCTTCCGTCAGGTTCATTTCCTTAGTGGTTTCGGCGAGCTGGAGACTGAAGGTCTGCTTTTGTTTTTCGGAGCGGTTAATTTTTTCAAAAAATATATTTTTATCCTTTTCTGCCTGTAAAATTTCCTGTTTTTTCAACTCCACAGTATTTTTCTGCGCAACCGCTTCCCCCGCTGACTCTTCATATGAAGAAAGCAGCACGGGGATTTCTGCACGCAATTTTTCTATAGAAGTCAACTCTTCTGATGCACCGGTAAATTTTTTCTGATAACCGGAGCGGGCATCCTCCAGTTTTTGTGTGATTTCTTTAATGTCAGCCTGTAGTCTTGCCGTTGTTTCAGCAGTGCGGGAACGGATATTTTTGAATTCCTGCAGCTGCAGCCTTAATTCCTGATAGTCTGTCTCCTGCTGTGCGTTCCGTTCAACTGTATTACTTAATGTGTCATTATCAGATTGGTGCTGTGCGGTGAGTACATCTGCCTCTGCATTTAGTTGAGCGATCAGCCGGGCGGTTTCTTCGGTCTGATTTAGCGTCTGTGCCTGCTTTTGTGTCAGTTCAGTATACCGCTTTGCTTCCTGATCCTGCCGCCGCCGTTGTTCTTCGTATTGTTTCTTCAGTATATCCTTCTCTATTCTGGCTTCTGACAGTTTAAGCGAAATAATTTTCAGTTCTTCTGATACCCGTGTCTGCATATCCTGCTGTTCATCACAGTCAGCGCGCAGCATTGCCAGCTTTACTTCGCATGAATCGATATGTCGGTTAAGGGTATCCGTTTGAGCCGGAATATCACTTAAGCGTCGGCGGGTCTGTTCGCGCAGAGTATGAGCAGGGTCTGCATCCGGATTGATAAAACGTACCAATCCATTGCTTTCGGTCAGCAGCGTATCGCTGTTAAAATGAAACAGCGGAATATCGGTATGTGATCGGGAAGGGAGTTGCGTCCCATCGGTTGTGCAGATAATTCTTTTCAGTAACGGAACGGCGATAGGTTGCGCCGTACGGGCTATCAGATAAGCTGAAAGCGGGTTTTGAGGAGGCACTTTCTTCAGAAAGAAAATTATCTGCACTTAATTCACCCGCGCTGTCAGTAAAATAAATTGTGAGGGAGCCGATACCGGCGTTTTCAGGCTTTGGCTGATATGAGAGGCGCGTGTGCCGGAACTGAATACCGCAATCCCTGCCAGCATGTTCCAAAGCGCGGAAACCGCAGACGGGATGTCAGCACTAGGGTGATATAAATCTGACAGTAAACCCAAATATCCGCACGTGTCCTGCGGTATCGGGGTGTTCTCTAAAATAATTCTGCGTTTTTTTGGATATTTTCATCACTGAACTGATACGTATCCATGACCCGCGGAGCGCCTGCTCTTCAGCAGTCAGTTTCGTCAGTTCTGATGAGTATCCGGACTGCTCCTTCGTCAACGCGGAAATGTCTGCTTCTGATTGGCGGATGTCACTGTAATTTGCTCCAGTTGTTCCTTCAGACCATCCGTTTGCTGCTGTAAAACCGCAATATCTGTAATTTCTGCCGGGTTAAGTTGTACAGACGGGGATTCCGACAGGACTTCACTCAATTTATTATCAGATGCGCGTGTCAATTCTTCTGCATATTCAGTGCTTCTTTCGCGCAGTCTTATCAGATTGGCTTCAGCGGCAGACAGTTGTTCGCGAATTTTAGCCAGTCTTTTTCCGGCAGCAGCTGCCCGTATCCTCTGATTCTCCTCTTCGTTTTTTATAACCCTGCGTGTTTCTTCTGCATTCTGTAGGTCTGCTTCCGCATATTCGACCTGTGCTTCGGCAGTTTCAATGCTTTATTTTCTGTATCCGACAAGCGTAATTTTTCTGCCAGTACAGCAGTCAGGCCTTCTATATCAGCAGTTTGCCGTTCCTTCCATTCATGCAGGTTCTTCAGTCGGTCTTCGCGGATTTTAATATCATTTTCACGGGACGTAATCAGTATCTTCAGTTCTTCTGTATGCCGGCGTGTATTTTCTAAATCTTCTTCCGCCTGCAGTAACTCAATCCGAAGCCTTTCCACAGATGTTTCGCTGACAGCCAGTGTACCCAATATGTTTTTCTGTGTCTCTTCTTCCTGAGTGATTTGGCGGTTCAGTTCATCCGCCTTATTCTTCAGCGTATACCAGCGGTAGGCATGGATATGGTTAGACAGTCTTTCACTGACGGATTTTGCGGTCATATACTTCTCCGCGCGCTCCACTTGCCGTCCGAGCAATTGTTCACGTTCGTTCAGTTCTGCTGTTAAATCCGAAATGCGGGTCAGATTACTGCGCGAAGTTTGCAGACGCTGAAAAGCCTCCTGCTTTTTAACTTTGAATTTGGAAATTCCCGCCGCTTCTTCTACGATACGCAACCGTTCTTCGGGTTTACTGGTAATAATTCGCCCGATCATTCCCTGCTCAATGATGGAGTAGCCCTTGCCGCCGACACCTGTATCCAGAAAAATATCGCGTATATCCTTGAGTCTGGCGGGTGTATTGTTAATCAGATACTCTGAAGAGCCGTCCCGGTGCAGTTTTCTGCCGATGCTGATTTCACTGAAACTGCCAAACTTAAATAGTCCGGTATCCGGCACGCGGTAATTTTCAAAAAACAGTGTAACCGAAGCTGTCGCAGACTGGGTACGGGTTTTTGAGCCGGCAAAGATGACATCCTGCATATCCTGACCGCGCAGATGCTTGGCACTTTGTTCACCGAGTACCCAGCGCAGGGCATCTACAACATTACTCTTTCCGCATCCGTTGGGACCGACAATTCCGACAATTCGGTGATCTTCAAACGATATGCGGACAGGGTCGCAAAACGATTTAAACCCTCTGATTTCAATCCCTGACAGCCTCATAGTGGGTTGCTGTGTCAATCATAGAGTATCGGAACAGATGAAGTAAGTGGGTGATCATGCCTGCAATCCTTTACCGGCATTGGTATTATTTTAAGCGGTAGCCGTTTTTTTCAATGGCGGAAACAATTTTATCCCGCAGATTTTTGGCTTCTTCGGCGTCCAGAGTCTTTTCCGGGTCGCGGAAGGTGACCGTCATAGTCAGCGATTTTTTATCAGGCGTCTCGGGCGGGACATATTCATAGACATAATCTACGCGCTCCACGCGACGGTCAACTGCGCTGATGAGGTCAGCGAAAAAACCGTAACTGTCGGTTCGGTTGACCAGCACCGATATGTCAAAAGGCACCGCCGGATATTTGGGCAATTCACCGAGTTTTCTGACGGGAAGACTTTGATGGATACTGAACAGCAAATCTGCATCAAATTCCGCCATAAACAAATTCCCGTTGAGATCATGATCATTCATGAACAGGCGGGTAAAGGTAAATACAGTACCTAACAGTTTTCCTTCCGTGCTGACAGAAGCGGATCGGTGCGGGTGCATATAAGATTTCAGCGATTCTGACGGTGCGGGGGTCCACTTTGGTTTCAGTCCAAGTGTGGAAAACAGGCGGTTGATGGTTCGTTTGACATTCTGAAAAAGTATTTCGGGCTTTTCATCCGAAGAAAAAGATAAAAATAGCCGCGAATCTTCATAACGGGTATTGTCTGCGCGTTTTCCGTATATTTTACCCAATTCAAAATAAGAAAAGCGGATATCCGTTTTTTGTCCTTCCTGCACCGCATTCAGAAAGCCCGGCAGGATAACCGTCCTCATCTGGTGCCATTGTGATACCACCGGGTTGAGTAATTCATTGGGCCTGATGCTGTCAAATTCCAGCTTCAGCTCGTCTGCACGCGCGTTCATCGGGTAGGTAAATACCTCCAGCATGCCGCAGGAAGCCAGAGTATATTTTATGGCGCGTTCAAACAGCCTCTGCTGATTGGGAGCGGGTTTTTCAATGGGGAACAGTGGCGGTGTCTCGGCAATATTATTATAGCCGTACATGCGCCCGATTTCTTCAATCAGGTCTTCCGGGATAGATACATCCTTAGTTGCACGCCATGAGGGGACAGTGATGCTGTAACCGTCCGGCGTTTTATTTACGCCAAATCCCAGTTTGGTCAGGATTTTGGTATTCTCTCGGTCTGATGTGGTGATACCGAGCAAGCGATCGATATGCTGTTTGTTCAGTTCGATCACCGGCAATGAGGGATTGC